TTTTTGGTAACTTGGAACTTTAGAGTTTTGCTAAATGAAGTTAAATGATAGAAGTTTGTTGAGTATCAAGGCGATTTCCACATAAGATAAATATTACACATTGATTATAAGGGATAGATTTGTCTGCCTTTGGTTTAGTATCTTAGAGAAACTGAAAGATGCTTAGGTTTAATGATAAACATGTTTGGGGCATGCTGAGGAATTTTCTATGAGAAAGTACATGTTTCTGTATACAAGGAAAGTCAAATGTATGTTTTCAGTAAAGAAGGTATAAGAATAGAAATATTTTTGTTTGTTTTGTTAAGAAAGATAAATTTGTCCTAAAGTACTAGGAAAGAAAAAAGAAAAGAAAACACATGGGACAAATTCTGAATCTAAAAAGTAAGTTACAGGAGGTTTGTGGAAGTAAAACCCTGAGGAGTTTTGTGCATGGTCAAGTTGGCTGAGATTAAAATGAATTCAATTAAGTGAATGAGTTTCAATAGCAAGGGTAAGCTGGTGCAAAATTAGAATTTGGTGTTCTCTCCCTTCAAAGGATGATTTTTTTGAAATTTTGGTCTGCTTTTGATAAAGAGCCTATAGAGGGTTTTTCTCTGCCTTTGAGTAAGTCTACCTAGGGGACAAAAGTTCTATACTTTGTTAAAATAATTTCCTATGTTCGAAAAGACTGAGGTCTCTCTATTATTCTGTTTTTTTTTTTAACTGTTCAAACTCTCTCTGTTTGCCTTTGATGTGTTCTGTTGTCACTTTGATTGAATGGATAACTAAGCATTGTTTCGTATTTGACTGGGTGTTTTAAACACTTTTGATAATTTTGACAAACTTCCCCCAAGGTTTGAAAGTCTTTCTTTTGACTTAAATAGGAACTTTGAGAATTTCCAATGGGCCCTGGGAATTCTCAAAGAATTCGTTCTCTTTTTCTATAAAGAGAGATATTAAACTAATTAGACTTATTTAGTATGTTACATTACATGGGAAACATTGTTAAATAAATGATGATAAACCTTCCTAGATTATATTGTGTGGGTAAATGTTATTAATATAAATACTTTTAAAAAATTATATAACGTTCCTAAAATTCTGACCTGTCTTGCTTATCCATCATAATTCTGGTTATTATTTCAAAATATTATATGTCACAGAAATGACCAAGTGTTTTTGTCAATTGTCATTTTTGAATGTTTTGTTATTTGCAGACAGTTGTTTTACTCTGATGTTTTTGCATATATATTTCATCTTTAGAGAGATTCATGGACAGGACTCTGGCACTTGATCTAGAATGCAGGTTTCTGATAAACATTCAGATTATAAAACTGAGCTGGAGAAGAAATTACAGAACTCTAACAGTGAAACTGATGGCCTCATAAAACTGCTAACAGAAGATCAAGATCAAGAATTAATTATATGAGACTGAGTAAATTGATGAGGATGTTTATAATTTTTGTGACTTTTCATTTGAAATATTGCTGACTTTCTTAATGTTTTGTTTTCCCTGATTCAAGTGAATCTTTTTCTCTTTTCTCTTAAGAAACTATGACTTATAGCAATTTGTATGGGGAATTGAATCATATATCTTTTTTCCCCTATCTGATCCCTCCAGAATTTGAAAACTCTTCATGAGTGAGCATTCTTATTTTCATGGCAATATAGTTATTTGCATAGGTTCAATAAGAATCTCTTCTCCTAAGAGTGGGACACAATTGGAAAGGCTAGTTACATTACCCAGGCTTTGACTAGAATGTCATATTTGAGTGAAACATACATAAACTCAGATATGACCAAACAGCTTTAAGGATTTAAGAATTAAGCTTTAAGGAGTCAAGACAAGGATTGATTTTATAGGATAAATAAAACCACTTGGAAATATTGGCCTGGTACCTTGCTTACAGGGTTCCCAGCAACCTCACCAGGCGAGTACAGAAGGTTACTTCCCTGGTAGGTGCAAGAACCTCGGGATATTTTGGGGACCTTGAAAAGAGAGGAATTCACCCAAATCTGTAAGCATTGCAGGCAGAGTCTGATGACAAGCACTTGGCTTGGCTTTCCTGGCCTCAGGGGGCCTTTAAAGTTCAATCTGAGATTCCTTACAAAAAGTTCCAGTAAAACAGATTTAAAAGAGCCTATATGATCAACTGCAATTCTTTCTGTATTTATGTCGATAATTGGTCCAAGGTTATTGAAACTGGACTTATTTTGAGAGCCAATGAGTCTTAATTAGGATATCTTTTGTAAAAATGAGAGTGATTTTAGAGACAAAAATTATGTGTCAATAGAAACTATAATACACATTTATGGATGTTGGATTCTGGTTCTGTTAATTGTCTGTGAGGTTTCTGTTTTCTCTCTGCAAGCTGAAGCTGGACAACATGATGTAAACTTAAGAGAGAACACCATGATGGCCCATGCTCAGACATTCTTCACGCCTGTTGCTGTATAGGCCACTCAAAAAGTTTAACTGAGCACCTTATGACGTCATCAGAGACATTTATAACTGCAGGGGATACCTCAACCCTGACATCTAGAAATCTTCTTGACTGGACATCCCCTAGGCTCAGGAATTGATTTGTAATTTGCTCCAACCATTAACCTTGTTTTCTTTCTGTTTCTCTGGAAATGCTTCTTGTTAAATAGCTGGTTACCTGCCTCACAATATAGGCTGAACTTTGGGTGACCCTTCCTATGTTCTAGGGATGATTGAAAAAACCCAGAGAGAAGTCTAATTAAGGAACTAGACACTGTCAGATGTTCATCTGCACCATCTTTGTCATGGAGACTGAATCCTATTACAATCCTGGAAACACAAGCACCCGGAAGATCAACTGGGTGCTGGATGGGACTGTACGAGAAATGCCACAGTGAACAGAAACCATGCCACAGAAGAACATCACAACCGGGATCACCCAAACCTTGGCTGGCTTCATACTCTAGACACTGACTTCTCCGAATGGACCAGTGAACTTCTGATAGACTTCAAATTGCCTTACAGAAGACAGTTTCCTAAAGATGAGTAATGAATGACTAGCAGGTCCTTACTGTAATTGTTGGACTATTAGACAGCAGGCTGTTTGGCTACATCAGATGTCACTAAAATATTAGTCAGGCAGAACATGCCTTGCTCTTGCCCACTTGGTACCTGAGAATAACTTTAAAATAAAGGTAGAACAATTTCACTCCTCTGACCTCAAACCTCGCCCTTTCACAGCAGGAAGCAGCTAGAGCAGTCTTCACCCCCATTCCCCAGATTGAGGAATGATGATACAAGAGGGGAGATTGAAACTGAGGATGACAGAGTTAAAATTTCCCTGGATTAGGATGAAACTGTGCCTTATACCCCACAAGTTTAATGTGGGAAACAAAATAACCAAAGTTTCTGAGTTTACCTTGCAGAACAGCAGGTGGACCGATGATAACAGAGGAACTTGGTAACAGCCCCCTGCCTGACCAAGCATCTTGCAGGAACATTGAGAAGCTAAAACGACTGATTGTAAACTTTAGACGTCAAAGATTGAAAATCCACCACATGCAACGTGTAGAACAGAAAGTCACGCCTGTGCAGAGGACTCTTAGAATTTCAGCCCCCAAGGCCACGTGCTCCCCCTCTCCTTCCTAAAACCCCAAATAAAAACCCTTGCTTGTAGCTTTTGGGGGAGATCGGGATTCCAGTGTGAGCTGCCCATTCTCCTTGCTCAGCGTTTTACAATAAAATTCCTACTTTCTTCTGCTACACCCATTGTCAGAGATTGGTTTGCTGAGTGACAGTGAGTGAACTTCAGGCTCTCCTCCCCTCCCCTCCCCCACCAACCAACAAGAACCACACAGACATAAGTATGGAATTTTATCTTATTTTAATTAACAAAAATAATTGTACCACCGAATGAAGTTGCTTTTTGTGTGGGTAAGAAGGGAGGAAAAAAATAAAAAGCAATACGCCCAAAGAAAAAGACCTTTTTATGTTCATCTGTACAAACATATCTGCTAAGGCAAACGCAATCCAGGGCCAAAGCGGCTGCACTGGGGTCGGTACCTCCTAAACTCTGCAGATTCTAAGGCCAAAAAAATAAAACCTCTGCAAGTCCAATGGGAGTCTCAGGGACGCTTGGGTCGTTTGACTAAAATAAAGGGTTATCAACTTAAAAAGCAGTGACATTGGCATGACACACACTGAAAGTTGCATAACTGTGGCCTCGATGGCCATTCCCTCATTTCCACTGGGTGACGGGCACGGTTTCACGACACACCAATGGACACAGACACACACAGAGACACCATACCTGTGAGCGAGCACATTGGGAGCTGCATGGGACCAGGCCGGTGGCTGAGGCCCGTCTGGAGATGGGAACTGGGTGGGCTGGGATCCCCAGGCTTCCTCAGGGTGTGGGTGTGATGGGACAGGTCCCGTCGCTGGTGACAAGGTGGTGGACATCACTGGGGGAAGGATGGTGTGAAAGGACCGAGCGAGGCCCCCTGCTCTCCACCGCCTGGTCCACGCAAACCACTTAAAGCACTTCTTGGACGCCTCCTGGAGAATGGAGATGGGCGCTGGGTTCCTTCCCTATGAAGGGCCAGTCCCTCTTCCCCACCCTGCTCTCTCCAGAGCCCCTGGGACACTCAGGCTATTCTGGGGGGCCTAGGGGGTGGTGTTTTAGGGGGTGGTGTTTCTGCCCCCAGACCCTTCCCTGCCCATGATCCATGGCATGGCTGGCAGAGCGTGAGCCTGTGAGGTAGATTGGCACAGCTGCCCCTCACCCTGCCTGGCTGGGCCCAGAGAGCTGGGGTCTACAAGTCAGCATGGGGCGCCAGGGGCCTGGGTCCCTTCGTGAAGATGGAGGTCCCCCGCCTTGACTTCAGCAGAGGGGAGGCAGGGCTGGAGAAACAGGTGCTGGGGGTGGGAGCCCCTGGGCCTCTGATCAGCTCCTTAGGCCCAGCTCTATGGAGCCGGCCACACTTCTTGCCATCTGTCACACCCCAGTCTAGGAAGGGGCTCAGAGGGCCCCAGGGCCAGTGCAGCCTGCTGGTTAAGGGCAGGTGGCCTGCAGCTCCTTGAAGGCTGCTTTCCGCTGCTTCATCTCCTCCGCCTGCTTCTTCCTCTCCTCCTGCTCCGCCTTGATCTCCTCCTCAAAGCGGCTGGACTCACTGATGGCCTGGATCTGGGGGGAGGGGGCCAGGCGGGTCACGGTGGGCAGGGTCTCTGCGCCTCCACCGTGGGCTTGCTCTGGGGTCCTTCCAGCCTGCAGTTCTGCTGTGCCCCTCCCACCAACGCACGCACAGCTCTGCCTCTCACTAGCTCTGGCCCTGGGGCGGGCACTGCATTCACCTCTCTCAGCCTCAGTTTCTCCGTTTAGAGCCTGCTGCTCAGTCACTCTGACCTCACGGACTGTTGGGAGGATTAAAAGAGATACCGCACAGTCAGTGGCTGCTGCATGGCATGGCTCCTCGATGTGGGAGCTTCTGAGGTTGCCATCCTCACCCTGTTTCCCGTCCTGGGGAGCCCAGCTGCACACCTGGTCCCACTGATGAACCCTGAAAGATGCCATCAACCCTAGAAGCCCAGAGGGAGGCAGGAGCAGCCTTGAGAAGCAATGTCTTAGCTCACATGGGAAGAGGGAGAAACATGGAAAGGCAGGTGCCCTGGGGGGGCAGGACCCAGGAGCCATATGTGTCCCTTCCATCTAAATGTGTGCTGAAAGGGAAGGGTGCTGTGCATGTAGGTGGCTTCTGGGGCTCATCATCCTCCCTACAGGCTAGGGCTGGCGGGGCTGGTGTCTCTGAGAGGCCCCAGGAGCCAGTGCTGTGTTTCTGGGCCTGCTCTGCTGTCTCTTGGGCTCACTCTTTAAGGCCCAGTCCTTTGAGGCTAGTGGCTCTGTGTGCCAGGGGCAGCTCAAAGTGGTCCCTGTCCCCTCTCTGACAGTACATACCCCTTACCCACCCCCGGCACAGGGACAGAAAAGGGAAGCTGGAAAAGATCACAGCCTGGATGGGAGGGGACAGAGCCAGGAGGGCATACTGTGGGCCTTGCCCAGCTCGGCCGGGGTGTCAGCTTCCTGTCTCCTGTCTGCAGCCTCAGCAGGGACAGGAAGGGGAAGCGCTGGCCCTCGAGCTAACCCAGGGTCCTGTTATAGCCAGGTCACCGCCCTTCTTGGGCAGGGTCAGGCCCCTCCACCCCGGGCTCCACTCATCCTCCGGTTCCTCACCTTGGCCTCAAAGAAGCTCTTGGCCCCCGTGACGCCCTTGGTGGAGACATCGATCTCGGAGAGGCGGGCCAGCACGTGCAGCCCGCTGTCCTCCTGCAGCTCCCCAGCCGCTGCCTTGCGGAAAATCAGGAGGAACTGCGCAGGGAGAAATGTGCGTGGGGTCAGGGAGAGAGGGAAAGGGGCCGGAGTCCCTGGCCACACCCAGGCCCATTCTCAGGCCTTCCGGAGAAATAGGTTTATATCATTATGAAAAAGACCACCCCTCACCTGCATGAGCCTTCCTCGAGTCTTCCAAACCTCTGATCCGTCTACGCTGTTCTGCCTCTCCAAGGAGCCACCATTTCATCCAAACACCCTGAGATGATGAGTGGGGAAAGAGCCCCCTGGCTGGACGGGGGTGACATCGCCTCCCTCCCCTCCCAAGTCTTGGGTCCCCTGGCATCCACTTACTCTGCAGCCTTCCCCAGCCCGTGACATAGCAGAAGTAGTTGTTGGGTGGAATGCTGCCACGGCCGCCCAGCTGGATCTTGTCGCTTATGGTGTTGGTTGGCCAGTTTGAGCAGAGCAGTGTCGTTCCTGGGTTGGTAAGGAGGCAGATCACAAAGAGAGGATTGAGTGTTCCTGCCCCAATTTCATTTCTGATTCTAGCTCTAGCTGGAACCACTGAACCCCCTCCTCAGCCAGCCCGAATGTGAATCTTGCTTCTGTCGGGGTTGTGATGGATTGGGGAGCAGCTGTGGTTAAATCCCAGGATTGCATTTTGTACCTAGTGGAGCTTGGAGCCCTAAATTCCCCTAAGCCCTTTCAGGGGAGTGTTCAGAACAGGGCGGGCAAATAGGTTTTGTCTTGAATGTCCACTCTCATGGATTAGCCGTGGCTGCCTGGTGGGCTGTGTTGACAAGGATGCTGAGACTCTGTCCAGGGTCAGCAAGGAAACACATCCATGGTTGCTTGGTGATGGCTGTCCTGTCATACACTTCCCGTGTTTGGTTTAGAAAATGGCAAGAGGTGCTCATGTCAAAGGCTTTCTGCCTTTTACTCTTTGCTCTCCCTTCCGCCTTGACCTCTTCCGCCAGATTCATCCCTTTGCCTCACTCTCTTGTCGAGGAAACTGTTAGTGATTGGCAGATTGTATTTTCCACGATGGCTGCAATGAGATCTCCCATCATATAGGCTCTTGTTACGATGTGATCTTGACAATCCGTGCACCAAGAAGTAGGGCCTGGGTGGGGAGTGGGGACTGGGGGCCTGTGATAGGGTGGAAGTGACATCATGTGACTTCTGAGACTAGGTCACAAGAGAAGATACAGCTTCTGCCTGGTCCCCGGGACTTCTGTTCTTGGAACTCAGCCTCTGTGCCATGAAGAAGCCCAGGCCACACGGAGAGGCCACACGTGGATGGTCTGGACAAGAATCCCAGCTGACAGCCAGCATCAGCCCCTCGTAGGTGAGGGAGGAAGCCTTCGAGATGCTGCAGCCCCGGCCACTGTCTGTCTGCAACCCCATGAGAGACTCTGAGTGAGAAGTGCCCAGCGGAGCTGTCAGACCCGAGAGATCATTACTATCTATGACTGCAGCTCTTTTAAGCCATTATGTTTCTGAGCGATTTGTTATAAAGCGACAGATCACCAGAAGAGTGACGCGCATTGATAGGACAGATACTAAAGGTCCTTAGGGCCGACAGCCTGCTCAGTTCTAACACACTTTCTTAGCCATCTCTCCCATAATTCCTCTTCACTATGCTCCCTTCCTGCTGGACAGCTCTGGTCACTGCCCCAGCACCACCTGCCCATTCTGTGACTGTCCCTTGTCCTGGCACTTCCCCTGACTTGAAAAGCCCCGTCTCCACTCTCTGCCCACCATATCCTCCCCATCTCTCAAGGCCTTCCTTGATGCATCTTGTGTTGTTTTATGGCTTTCTGGAGTCTTGCGTGTGTGCCTCACCCAGCTGACAAGCCCTTTGAGGGCAGGGACTGACTCATGACTGAGGGACCCTCCTCATCCTCTGTGAGCCATCATCAGCGCTGGACCACAGCAGGCTGACTGGATGAGGGAACGCCGAGGGTTATGACCACAGGGCGTCCTCTTGCTCTCCAGGGGCTGTGATGAGGAGTCTTCTGGAAGATCTGGCAGAGTGAGGTCTCCGGGCAGCTGTTCAAGAGTGGCATCTTGGGCTGCAGAAGAGGCCATGCACATGATAAATTATGCACATTTGAAGTGAAGGCTGGGGCGCTTCTTTCTAGAGACACTTCTGGAACTGCAGATTGGGAGAGGATTGAGAGAGGAGAGGATGACAGACACCTCTGGTTCTAGGAAGACGTGGGGGAAGCAGGGAAAAGGAAGATAACTTTCTCTCTCCAGGGGGGAGATGATAAAAGTGTGTTGAAGGCCTGCCAGGATCAGGCTCTCTGCTAAGTCCACCCTACCTCATTGAATGCTCCTTTCTAAATCTGTAACTTCATAGGTCATGGCTTCCTCATCTGTGAATGGGGGTCATAATAGTACCTCGCTCCTAGGGCTGTTGTGAGGAAGAAATAAGATCATCCATGGAAACATTTAGCACTGTGTCTGGCATGAGGGAAACACTAAGTGCTCGTTTGCATGATTGTGAAAACTAACTCCTGGGGTTGGCAGAGAGCTCACTGGGAAGGCATGCCAGATTGTGAGTTTCTGGAGGGTTGGCAGTCCCCAACATTCCTGCCTGTCCTAATGGAAGACTGCGTTGGCTGGGCAGAGTCACCGTTGGTCACTGGAGTGCCTATGCTTGTGGGATTAGAAAGGGGAGCTCCCTGAGCTGCAATGAGCTGCTCAGGTTTAGGGGTTACCCTAAACCTCACAGGGCCATGGGCTTTGTGTGTCTCACTCACAGCTGTTTCCCAAAGGCCTAGAACAGGGCCTAGCACATAGTAGGCACTCAACAGATATTTGTGGAATGAGAGCATGAGTGAGCCTATGGCTCTGAATTTTGTTTAGTGCCACCTGGAACTCAGGATCAGTGATCATGAAAGAAGCCTACTTGTCCAGCAAATATTCACTCACCCTATTGTCTGTCCCCTCCCTGGGTGAGAGGATAGAGATTCAGGGGTGAATCCAGTACAGCCCAGCCCTTGCAAAATTCCATCTAGAAGGAGAATCAGACGTGGGCTAATCTCTAATGCAGTGAGCCAAGTACCTCGACTGGACCTGCACCTCGAGAGTGGGGATGGGCAGGAGTGAGGGGTAGATTCTGCCAGAATTCTGATGGGCAGGACCTTCTCTTCCTCTTCTTCCTCTCCCTCCTTTTCCCCACTTCCTGGGACCACTCCCCATCACCTCGAGGGTTCAACATACAGCCCAGCAGTCACACTTCTTTATTGCACTATTATTGCACTACTACTATGACCAAGAGCTCACACATGTGGCTTCTGTTATGTGCCAGGCCCTTTTCTAAGTGCTTCCCACACATTATCTCATTTAATCCTCACAACAACCCCAGAGGTAGGACTGTAATTATCCTCATTTCACTGAAGGGAAACTGAGGCACAGGAAGCCTAAGGAACTCGTGCAGGACCACACAGTCATTCATCATATCTAAGCCATCGGGCTCCAGAGCTCAAGCCCTAACCACTACCCTGCACTGCCTCAGTCTCAGGCTTATGGCCAGGAGCTCCCTGACAGGTGGCATGGTGAACTGCGCATCTCTGTGTGTCTAGCACCCAGAGTCCAGTGCCCAGCATGGCGTATGGTAACAGCGGGTGCTCAGTAAAGGCTCAGGGTGAACATAGGATGGTCCGTGCTCATCTAAGAGGAGAGGTGGGCAGGGGAGGTGCCATGTCCCTGCGGGGCGGGGCAGAACAATGGCTGGGAGGCTTTGGAGAGCTCTGAGACCCTTGTCCTTGTCATCTTCCTGTGCACATTACCCCCAGGCTGTCCCTGCAGGGTGTCAGTGCTTCTTTGAGAATGTAAAAGGCCTTGTTGGGAGGGGTTGCAGGGTGGGGGAAGGCAGGAGGGACCGTCCTACTCCACTAACAGTCCTGGGTCCTGCAGGCCCATCGCTGTGTCCCCAGGACTTGTCACGGAATCGATACATGGTCAGTGAGTGCCTGGGGTGGACAGGGAACCTGCAGGCTTACCTGGCAGGAGACGTAGGTTGCTCTGACAGTCTTTGTCTCTCCCTCCCCCAGTGCACAGCCCCACTCCAGGCATCTTTGGGGCCAGCTCCTCTTCTAAGAGGGAAGGAGCGAGGAGGGGTGGGGTTGTGCCCACTGCCTTCTGCGAGACCCCCCCACTGTCTATGCTTCTGCCAACCCCACCCCCAAGTGCACCCCGACAGAAGGCACCCTTTGGAGACTTGCCTGGAGTTCCATTCCCCGTGCACCATGAGCTTGGAGACAGCGACGGCCAGCGAGCCTAACTCCTCGGTGGAGAGGCTGTGCCTGCCCAGCACCACGCGGTCTGTCCTGGAGGAGCTGGGAGAAAGGGGGCCAAGTGCTGAGGGTCAGTTGTGGGCTGTCCTTTCCTTTCTCTGCCTGCCATGGGCAGAGACACCCCAATGCACTGTCTCCAGAGGCCTGGCTTTGGACAATGCTGCGATGGGCCGAAGTGAGAGACTGCTCCACCAGCCACTAGGGGGCGGTTGGGAATTATTCTTCCCCAGGGGCAGTTGGTTAGTTATAACATAACATGATAAGTGTAACTATGTAATAATTCTAACTATACTATACTAACTGTAAACTATAATGTAAAATGAAAGTTAGACTACTGTAAGCTCTATATTATTATTGGGGAAATGAGATGGACACAGAGGGAACAGCAGTCATTTGCCTGCAAGGGCATTTCCTAGTTTAATCCCCCACCTCTCCTTTTTTTATTTATTTATTTATTTATTTATTTTCCCCTCAAAGCCCCAGTAGATAGTTGTATGTCATAGCTGCACATCCTTCTAGTTGCTGTATGTGGGATGCTGCCTCAGCATGGCCGGAGAAGCGGTGCGTTGGTGCGCGCCCAGGATCCAAACCCTGGCTGCCAGCAGCAGAGTGCGCGCACTTAACCGCTAAGCCACGGGGCCAGCCCTCACCTCTCCTTTTTAGGTGGGGAAACTGAAGCTCAGGGAGAAGTAACTGGTCCAGGATCTTACAGCTGGTTAGTGAGAATCCGGAACTAGAAGCCAGGACTCCTGACTCCCGCGCCTCTACCATCCTCCCTCCACCTCATGGGGCTTATAAATGAGGTGGGCAGAGGGCCCATTCCCGCAGAGCCACCCCGACCAGGGGAAACTCCAGCGAGCTCCAGCTGCTGTGAGGTCAGCAGAGGTCTAGGGAGGGAAGAGGACGGTGAACATCAAATGTCAGAGAACATTTTCTTTCCCTTGTGAGCCTTTATGCTGGTAAGAGTTCACTTTTATTGAGCACTTACTGAGTGCCAGGCCCTTAACACATCATTGCATTTAATCCACACTAAATTCTGTTATCTGCTTTTTTGCAGGTGATGGTATTGAGGCTTGGAGAAGTCATTTAAGTTGCTCAACCAATTCCAAATCTGGAGGCCACGTGTAGTACCCCTAAGAGGGCAGGAAATGGGCCTCCCCCTCCCCCTCCCCCATATTCCTCCTCAGTGCCCTGCGCAGGGTACTCAATCTGCGTCACATAATGACCAATCAGTGGACCAACAGGCTAAACTATAGATTGACCAAACCTTGTTTCTGGGCCAGGCAAGTGGTTATTTGCAAGGCTTCTTTATAGCGGATGTTCAGGCCATTTGGGCTTCACCTCTTGGAGATGAGTGCTGGCCGGTGGGGTGAGCGGGCTGGGCAACTGGGGAACAGCCGTTCCCTGATGCAGTGGGCAGCTGTCAGGACCCAGTTGTTGGCCACCAGGGACCCTCGGCAGGAGTGGCGCCACTGGCCATGGTTGCTGTACTGCAGGGAGACCCGGGAAGAAGCGCAGGCGCTCTGGGAGCTGAGGGAGCCGGGCTCTCTGGTCTTCAGCATCCCCGAGAGCAGGGCACTCGCCTCACGTGCAGACTTTAAGGCCCCACCAAGAAACTCAGTAATCAGGATCAGTAACATTTAATGCAATACTAAAAAAAAAAAAATCACACCAAAAAATCCATGATGAACAAAACCTCAAAAATTTAAAGCCACTATTTAAAAAAACTCTGTTTTGAACATCTTTCTGCATGTGATTGTTGGGATTTTCCCCTTCTTGGGAGCTATTTCCTAGGACTATCGCGCCAATTTAAAATGTCTGAAGCCCAATCGTGATTTTCCTCCCAAACCTGCTCTTTGCTGGGGCCTCCGCGTCTCAGTGAATGGCAGCCCCACTTTACCAGCTGCTCAGGCCAAGACCCTTGGCATTACCCTCGACCCCTCTCTTTCTCTCGGACCCTCACTCAAACCCACCAGCAAATCCCGCCAGCTCTACTTTCAGAAAATGAGGGGAGAATGCTGCCTCCTTCTTACCTCCCCTGCTGATCCCAACCATCTTCATCTTTCACCTGGATTGTTATTTTAGCTTCCTGTTTGTTCTCCCTGCTCTCACCCTCACCCATCCCTCACCCCATATTTCCTCAGCACAGCAGCCAAGACGATCCTTTTAAAATGTAAGTCTGATTATGTCTCTTCTCTGCTCAGACCCTCCAGTGCCCCACACACACAGTGTAAATCTCAAAACCCTACGATGCCCTACAAATCTCTCCATGACCTCCCTGACCCCATCAGTTCCCACTCCCCTCTCCTCCAGCCACTCTGACTTCCATGAGGTTCCGCAAAGACACCAAACCCACTTCTGCCTCAGGGCCTTTGCACTTACTCATTCTTCTGCCTGGAGTAGTCTTCTTCCAGGTATTAGCATAGTTTTCTCCTTCACTTCCTACAGGTCTTTGCTCAAGGTTACCTTCTCTAAGAAGTCTTCTATGACCACCCTATCTAAAACACAGCACGTACACAGAGACGGTCACACTCACATCCACACACACAGACACACTCACAAACTCACACATAGAAAGACATGTCTCTCTTTCCTCTTGTCCTGCTTTCCTCTTCATCACAGTATCTTTCATCACCAGACATGTTATGAATTTATTCTTTCAATTGTTTATTGTCTCACTTCTCCACTTTAACATAAGCTCCAAGATTTCTCCCCCCATGGCTGTATTCCAGGTGGCTAAAACAGGGCCTGGCACATTGTGGGTCCTTAATAAATACTTACTGATTGAACTAGTGAGTGAAAAGGAAATGAATGAATGAGTGAATGAATGAAAGCAAAATCTCAAGGGCAAGAGTCTGGTCTGGGAGTGACGTCAGCATCATGGCGGAGTGAGATTTCCCGTGAACTCTTCCCCCGATAAGATACAACAAAAGGAACAGTCACAGACCAACAACGGAATCCCAGACAGTGAAAAGCTAGAGCGGAGGGATCCACACTGC